TGGCTCAAGTGGTAGAGCACTAGCCTTGAGCTGAAGAGCTGAGGGACAGTGCCCAGGCCCAGAGTTCAGGCCCCACGACTGGCAAAAAAAAAAAAAAAAAAGGAACTGCTTTCCAAGACCAATCATACACTACTACATGAAACTGTCCAATTTATATAAATAGCTGAACAATATATAAACCTCCCAATAGAAAAAAATTAAGATGTATACCTCCTTCATTCTTTACAATTACACTCATACGTCGACGGACAGAATCAAAGTTTAAGGTGTGGAGAAGTTCATACCTTTAAGGAAATAGAAATTAATAAAAGTAAAATACTTGCAGCACACTGGGAAAAAATAAAACACATTAGAAACATTTGAAGATAGTTTAACATCTTAAAATGAACAGATAGTTCTTTTTGGGGTAAGAACAGCTTACTGTGTGTACAACTGATAATTTCTCTTTTCTTTGGAAGCTCTCTGTGTAGAATCTACTGCAGAAAAGTCAGCATTGGGTAAAGATTATTTTTATAATTTATTGTTACTTAAAAGTTAGGAGAGTGCTCCAGTCCCTATTTGGAGGGGCTCAGTGGGAGTACTAGAATACCTATGGATGGTCAGGCACTGTACTAGGTTTTAGGATAAATCTGCTTAAGTTTCAGGAGCTCATCACCATACATTAAGAGTGTCAAAAGACAATAAGGTAACTTACTAGTAATCTGTTAAAACATGGATATAAAAGCACTCAAAAGGAAGAGAGTTAAGTACAAAAGAAAACCATCTGAAAGAAAATGTCTTGGAAAACATTAAGCTACAACTGAGTTCTTCAAGAATATGGTAAAATGGGGGGGAGGGGGAAGGCTGGGAAGGGATGTGAAGGGTAAACAAAGGAGGAGGCTGCAATGCTTGGTAAGAAATGTACACATTATCCTGCCCATGTAATTGTAACTCCTCTGTACAGTATGTTCACAAATAAAATTAAAAAAAAGAAAAAAAAAGAATATGGTAAAAAAAAAAAGGAGGGGTGGGGTGGGACGGGGTGGGGGGGTGGCTTTGGGGACAGAAGAAAATACACAGAGGCCCAGTAGCATGATAACTTATAGACCAAGAGCATCATGCCTGGAAAATTCATCAATAGGAGAATAGCAAAAAGATGATGCAAGGGAAGCAGGCATTGAAATGGGACTTTGTAAGTTTAGTTGGCATTTTCCCCTAACAGCAACAGGAATCCAAGTAGAATGGCATTGCAATATAGATCAAGTTGGTTTGGAGGTAGCTGATGAGAAGATACAAAATATGTATTACAAAATAATTATTAGGAAAGCTTGAGTGTTTCCTTGAAAAACATACCCCAGACACATATTTTCAACACTAAAATATGGACTATATATTTTATCCTGGGTAGGAATGAATGGGCCCTTAGGTTCTGTTGGGGAGTGGAGCTGTATATAAGGCATCTACATAAGCAATCCACATTTTATGTTGGGCTTTGGAGCATCCAGTCCTTAAGAGAGAATATTACACAAGTGTTACCCCATGTAATATACAATTTGAGATAGGTCTCACAGGATCCTAGGGGCCAGAATGGAAGTCAGAGAAGATAATTATATTTCAGAAGGAATTCAAATTAATCTTAGAGCCTATTTAAAGTCTGCCACCAACTCAAAGAAGCTTTGTTCCTTTAGTCTTTGTAGCAAAATAAGAAATGCCAATATTTGGATATGTTGGAGGACTTGCCCTGAGCTTCACACTTAAACATGAAAGGACAAGACAAAGATTCCAGGGAACACCAAAACTACCACTGAAATTTCAGAGTGATTGCTTGGGCTCTGGACAACAGAAGGTCTCATACAAGTTGCCTGATTGGTTTTGTATCATGTGTTAGCATGCCAATTTCAGAGAGTCCAAGCAATCTCACATTCTGGATACTGGACTCAAATGTGAACCAAATTGGAAATTTTGCAAACGTGTTTTTGCCATATTATGAAAAATTACTTCTCCTACTCTAATTACATTTATATAAAACTCTGAATTGAAAGAACACAGTTCCATATTTATAGGGTTATAGGGCCATCAGATTCGCTTGTTGCCTTTTTTTTTTTTTTTTGGGTCCAGTCATGGAGCCTGAACTCTGGGCCTGGGCACTGTCCCTCAGCTCTTCAGCTCAAGGCTAGTGCTCTACCACGTGAGCCACAGCGCCACTTCTGGCTTTTTTTTCTTTTTGCTTATGTGGTGCTGAGGAATCGAACCCAGGGCCTTGAGCATGCAAGGCAAGCACTCTACCACTGAGCCACCTTCCCAGCTCCAACTTGTTGCCCTTTTTGAATCCATTTAAATCCAACTATAGGGTTAGGAAGTGACAAAATACAGAGCTACTTACTCTTCTATTTCTTTTCTTTGGTTCTCTATTCTCATATATCCACTCCGATTTCCTAAAAATGTGAACCCGTACCTATCAAAAATGAATAAATAAAATGACCTTTGTATATCTCTAAGGAATAATTAATTTCCCCTTACACTGGCGCTATTCATACACGCCAATCTTTGCTTTCATAAGATTGCCATCTACAACTACACTTCCCTTTCCTGGATATGCTGATAACACAGAACACGTCAATGCCCGTAACTAAAGTAGTAGAAACAATTGGTAATTCCAATTCTGTAGCTAACATAGTGAGGAAACCTTTTAGTCATCTAATTATCTTAGGGCTCATGGGTAAAGTAGACTGTCAATTATCAGATGAAATCAAAATTACTAGGAGCACTGGAGAAATAAGGTTATATAAAAAAGTGGCCACTGTTAACATGATTTTAAAAATATGAAAATTTCAAAATATGAAAATATGAACTTGTTACTAGCATGCTCAAACAATAAAGCAAGTTATATCTATGCATCCCCATTTTCTTTTGAGACATTTGCTAGGTCTGAATTTTTTTCATGAACTTTTACAAAAAGTATTCTGGCTTTATATTAAATAACAGGAGGGTGATTATAGAATTACTGAAGCAAACAGGGTAAAACCAAAATAACTCTGATATCTTGTGGTTTCCCTTTCTCGGGAGAAGTATAAAACATGCTTACTTTTTAGCTCCTTTCACTAAAGCTATTTCATCTGGTGAGGAGGAGATATATGTTAATTCAGCTGATTCTGTAGTTCCATCAACAGTATCATTTGTTTTAATTTCTACAGTGTGACATAAACACAAGGCACGCAGAAAGAGTTCTTCTCGATTCTGTTAAACAGAAACATAAGAACTGTATTATTTTCACATTGATCACTAGACAGGCACTGAACAGAGAAATATATTAATGTGAGAGAATTTTATAACCTCTAACAAACAGTGATCGAAATTCATAAATTTCTAATATTCAAATGAGTCCCTAGTATCTAAAATGATTCCTGCTTCTTTTTTTGTTTGTTTGTTTGTTTGTTTTTTGCCTGTCATGGGGCCTGAACTCTGGGTCTGGGCACTGTCCCTCAGCTCTTCAGCTCAAGGCTAGTGCTCTACCACTGGAGCCACAGCGCTACTTCCAGCTTTTTCTGTTTATGTGGTGCTGAGGAATCGAACTCAGGCCCTCATGCTTGCAAGGCATGCACTCTACCGTTGAGCTACCTTCCCAGCCCTGATTCCTGCTTCTTAGCTAACATCACTAGATGATATATTAACTCATTCAAGCTACTATAGTGACACCTACACCAACACAATGACTTCCTGGCCTAAAAGAATTAATTCAGAATCCAGCCATGGCTCAGATATAGGGAGAATTTGGTTTATTAAAGGTCTTAAAGACCTGAAGAGTCATCATTCTTGGAGGAACTAATATTTTTTTAATTATGATCATAGAGATAGACAAACTAAAGTTCTACTCAAATGCTACTCCCCATAATCCTCTCTACTTGTAAGTTCTATTTATTTAATCCAGAAGTGTTAGTAAAATAAAAAAAGGTGAAGCCAAAAGAACAAATGGTAAATCAAGTGGGTGTCATGCACCTATTAGATTTCTAACCCTTGTCTATAAAAAATAACTTTTCAGGTAAAATAGTAATGCAGAAAGTATCACCTTATCTGCTTTGTCAAAGTATGTCAAAGGTCCATCAGTCTCAGATAATCCATCAACTTCTTGAATTTCACCTTTATATTTGTGCCCATCTATGCAACATTCAATGAATTCCATGGAATTTTCAGTTAACGTTCCAGTCTTATCTGTAAATACGTAATCCACCTAAAAAACAAAAATATCAATATACATACCCATTTCTCTGGCACTTAATTTTTGGTTAAGTATAAAGCAGACTTATTTTCATATCTAGAGAAATTACCTCATCTAAGATTTCTTGTCAAATTACTGAATTATACAGGCAATGTTATCAATGAATAAGGCATGAGTAGTTTTCGTGTGTGTGTGTGTGTGTGTGTGTGTGTGTGTGTGTGTGTGTGTGTGTGTCCTTGAGCTTGAACTCAGGGTCTGAACATTGTTCCTGACTTTTTTGCACAAGGCTAGCACTCTATCAATTAGCTATAGCTCCACCTCTGGCTTGTTTGTTAACTGGAGATAAATGTCACAGAATTTAATGACTGGGCTAACTATGAACAGTGATCCTCAGATCTCAGCCTCCTCAGTAACTAAGATTACAGGCATGAGCCACCATTTCCCACCTACAGAATACTTTTAAAGATTTCAAAATACTATCTCAAATACTAGAATTCCTTAGAAAGGCAAACACAAGGAAACAGGAACTTGAAAGTTTTGGGGTGGTATCAAGGGGGAAGAGGTAGACAAATAAGAGAAGAGAGGAAGAATGCAGTCAAGAATTCAAGAATGATATTTATCATTCCTAAGGAAATGTAAAGACTTGGAAAATTTATATTCAGTGAAGTAAGCCAGACCCAAAGAAACACAGATGGCATGGTTTCCCTCATTTGTGGTAGCTAGACTGTGCCTATAAATCTACAAGTAAATACACTGGGTGGTATGCAAACAGTTATAAATGAGTTAACTGAATTATAATGTACTCTATGGGAGGGCAATTAGTATCATTCTGTAGAAGGACTAAAGTCAAAATCCAATAAAAATAAGTTCGATAAAATGGACACTCAGCAAGAGGGTAATATGAAGCCAAGGGAAGAGGGGTAGAAGAATTAAGGGGGGGGAGACTGCAGGCGAGACTTCATCGTATATACCACAGAACTGAGGAATATAAGGGAAGGGGTGAGTTGAAGGGAGTGAAGGTGTTGAAGTGGTAACACTGTTGAAGATGCATGGTATACAAAAAGTGCCTCGTTAAATGGCCAAAAATTCAATAAATAACCTAAAATTAAGATAACTAGGGGAAGGGGTGCATTGGGAGTGGTGGGAGAGAATGTTGAAAGGGGTGACATTGATCCAAGATGCATTGTATTCATAAAGTGCTTTTGTAAATGGAAATTCCTTTGTAGAACTACTTAAAAGATAATAAAAATATTCAAAAAAAGAATTCAATGTATAGCCTACAAAATTCAAAAAGAGGGAAGGATTGGGGAGGGATGGGTGAGAATGGTTTAAGAGCTGACACTGATCAAGATGCATTCTATCAAAAATGTTGTGTTAAATGGAAACTTTTATACAACTAAAAATGAAAATAAACAAAACCAGAATGATAAATGTAAAAAAATAGTATTGTACGCCTGAAGTAGACCTACTCAAATTAGAAGACTAATACAAAGGAAAAAATATAGAAGACATATGTAGAATACTAACAGGAAGGAAAAATGTGACTATTTTACCATACTAAGATACCTTCAATTTAGTATTTTGATATATTTTGATGTATAGAAGACACAGTTAAAAAGTAAATTTTCTAGATGGGTGATGGTAGTTCATATTTGTCATCCTAGATACTCAGGAAACTGAGATCTGAGGGTCAGGATTCAAAGACAGCCAGGGTAGGGAAACCCCTGAGACTGTTATCTCCAATTAACTACTAGAAAAGCCAGAAGTAGAGCTGTGGTTCAAGTGGTAGAGTGCTAGAAAAGGATCAGGGACAGTGCCCATGCCCTGAGCTCAAGCCCCAGGCCTGGCAGAAAAAAAAGCTAATTTTCTAAGATTATACTGCCCATTTACACCTGGCTCTTTGTCTCACCTTACATGCTGGCATGTTCATAACACAATGGGAAAAAATTAACAGGAATTAAATTAGGATGTAAGCATTTTTTGAAAAAAAAAACTGATGGTTGTTTCATTCCCCTTGAAAAGCACAATTTTCTATAAAAGTACTACACTAAACTAACATGTATAACATAAGAACTACAGAATATATATACAGAAGAATGAAGTCTTAGGTTATTTAATTAGGAGACTCAAGTCAGTAGTAATAAAAGCCTAACAGAAATTCCTTCCCACATACTATGTATATTTTCAGATACTCCTCAAAAAAGTTTCCAAATTCTTTTAAAAAGCAGAGCTCATAATGATAGGTTCAAGTATAATATATATACTCATAAATAATGGAAAATAAGCTAAGTTTTCCATTAAAATAGACCATTTTGAACATTTCTATTTTATCTCAGTTTTTATCTCTTCTATTTATAACATCAGGCTTTTGGAAACCCACAATTTTATCATCCTTTTTTGGCAATTTATGCTTAAATAGTTAAAATTATGGGTTGACAGGGACAAGCACAAGATTAAGGTTTTTATTATGTAAGGGAGAAAGAAATGAACTTCAGCAGTAGTTGCTTTCTAATTATTTTTCAAAGCTTTTCATAGTAGCAGCACTGGCACAAATGGAGCATTCCAATCTTCTTTTTTTTCCCCCTATTAACCAGCCAAATTTGGATTCCTCCTTTATATTAATCCAAGTGGCTTAGATATCATTTAAATTTTTCCAGTTTAAAAAAATCTTTTGAGCTGTGGCTCAAGTGGTAGAACACAAGCCTTGAGCAATAAAGCTCAGAAATAATGACCAGGCCTTGAGTACCAGCACCTAAAAGAATTCTTTTGAGCTTTTTAGCTTGATCAAAATTATTAACTTTCATTTTCATGTGAAGATTGTCTTTGGGTATTATTGCATTTGGGTATTACCCTACTCAAGATCTCTTTTAAAAGTATCTTAGATGGCAGCTTCAAAATACAATGTACAAGGGCTGGGAAGGTGGCTCAGCGGTAGAGTGCTTGCCTTGCATGCATGAGGCCCCCTAGGTTCGATTCCTCAGCACCACATAAGCAGAAAAAGGTGGAAGTGGCGCTGTGGCTCCAGTGATAGAGCGCTAGCCTTGAGCTAAAGAGCTGAGGGACAGCACCCAGACCCAGAGTGTTCAGGCCCCATGTATGTATATAGATACACACACACACACACACACACACACACACACACACACACACTGTACAATTCCTTTGTCTTCAAGAAACAGTTTGGGCAGTCTAGTTCTGCAAACACTGAATCTCACAGATAGGGGTGGCTATATTGTCTGAAGATATAGAAAATACCTTTAAAAAGGGACTCAAATCAAGAGATGATAATGTCTCTGAGAGCTTAATTATACTAGATACCTAAAAAGATGGAGGAAGATATTCTCCTAAACAACTCAGGCTTTAGTGGCATAACAAGATTAAGAATAGAAGCTCTCATTGCCCAAAGGCTGTGGTATAAGTAGAAAGGTCCAAACTTTTAACAATGGCATGATCTTCCCAGCCCCTATCCAGAAGCTACCAATCATCTCATTGGCATACAAAAGAACCTCTTATCTCTATGAAAATTTCCAAAGGTTTTAAAATGTATGGCAGGAAACTGGGACTAAGATCAAATACATATTTAATGACATCACAGCCTACCCCAATAAACACTGGTCCATTACATCCTTTTGATACACAACTGAAATATACTGGTCTATTACTGCAATCCCATCAATCAATAGTCTAGTCCATCACTGAAAATGCCTCCCAAGGGTTATCGTTGCTAGAAAGTGATTTAACCATAGGCTGAACCCATGAAACTGCAAATCAAAATGGGTAAAAAAATTTATCATATAGCTTAGCCTAAAGGAACATTTGGACTAAACAGTCTTGGCTCTACCTATCAACTTGGTGATGGTGGTAAAATATCTTCTTATTTTTTAGTTGTAGAATAATCTCTGCTACACAAGACAATAAAGATTAAAAGATTAAAAACAAAGCTCAATAAATGTTCTGTAAACTTTAAGGTACTATATAGATACTGTCATTGCAGTTCACCTGGCAAAAACCACACGGCACGGTACTAAATGGTTTCCATTGTCCCATAATCCTTATTTTATGATCACATTGCTATAATTAAATCTGGTGTGTTTCCCTAAGTAGACAGTAAAATGTTTAGGGTTTCTTGCTTCAAGTGTAACTTTAGTACTTAGCATGATATAGAAACTGAATGAACAACCACTGGATTGAATTACTGGAATAAGAGTATATACTTAGATGATAAAGTCCAATAGGCATAGTCACAAGATTGAGAGGGGAATATGAAAAAGGAGACTAGTACCACAGTTTTTCAAGATAGACTGAAACTCTGGTTATATAAAGATTGGTACTTGATTATAAAAGACCCCATTACTTTCTAGCTTTCTATTTCCTTTTCATAAAAACGTTGTTCCTAACCATGTATTTCTGTCCTTTTTTTTTGCTTAATTTGAACTTGGGGCGTCACACTTGCTAAGCTGGAGTTCTACCACTGGGGCACTCTGCAAGTTCCTTTTCATGATAGTGTCTTTTCCAAGATAGTGTCTTGATTTAATGCCTGGGTCAGCCTAGTTTGAAATCCTACTTATATCTTTGTTGGTTATTGAGGTGACAGTCTTACTACTGTAGCAAAGCTGTTCACAAGTGCACATCACCCTGCCTACTAAGATGGAGTATTACAAATTTTATGCCTGAACTTTCTATGTAATCCCTTCATCTCTGCCTTCCAAGTAGATAGGATTCAAGGTTCGATCCACTATGCCTAGCCCAATCGGTTATTTTATGAAAAGGTTAAGTGAATGCTTGTCATGATCTTGATGGGAATGAACTGATACTCCTTTAAATTAACCAGAAAAAGCCCTATAAGTCTTAAATTATAACTTATCAGACAAAATTGATATCCTTATTTTTGGATGTATAGGTCCACTGAATTTATTAAACAACCTAAAAATGATTTCAGTACTTCTTTGCCTTTCCATTCAGATAGTATCTACACATAAAAGTAGGTAATATACAAATATTTAACTGAAGTGGTGGTATGCTATTAAGTTAGTGATTTGGCCAAATGCCAACTCTGCCAGAAATTCAGAGTTCATTTGGAGAAAGGAATGGTAGCTGAAACAAAAACTAGAACTTCTTTTTCCATAATCACATTTACCAGATCATTACCCAAAGCTCTACTTTACTATCTACATTCTTAATATAGTCTGTGTGTTAAGAATAAGACTGTATTCCCATAGGTAATATGGAATTAACTAAAGTGGATATCGGAGACAAAGCATTCTGAGTCCTATCAAGTGGAACACAGACTGGGCATCCTGTCTTTCTCTGGAGAGCATTGTGTCAACTATATAATAATGGGTATTTTATTTTCAGTATTAGTTAAAAGTTAGTCCTAGGCTAGCTATACTCAGCCTTGTTTATCCAGACAACTAGGTACTGAACCTAGAGCAGGAACATGTACTCAACATCCAAAGTGAGCTACTAAACCATCTGTCAGGAAAAGGTTTACCAGAGATAGTTTGTAGACTCATTTTTTTTTTCCGTGCAAGTCTGCAAAAAAAACTGACAGACTAGCATTGTTCTACTCAGCCATGTCCTCTGAATGCAAATTTGGGCTGGAAATCAGCTACGGCAGCTCAATTCACCAACTAAAGAATCTTCTGGGAACAATATCTAAGGGAAAAGCCACTAGCTTATTCATTTCTCATTCTATTCTAGGTGTCTCCAATATTTATGTGGAATACAGACTTAAAGGTCTCATCTACTAGTATTCTGGAGTCAGGTCTTAAAAAAAATATCTATCTGCAAAGTCCTTTTGCCCTTTCAACTGTAGTTGTCAAGAGAGTACTTTGCTTTAGGCAAAGGCTGTGAGAATAGCAGAAATAGAATGTGGGGTACCAGCGGGAGTGCTAAACTCAGGGAGAGTGACTTTTGGAGTATAGATGCAAATCAGCACCATTTAAGACAAGTGTGAAGCCCTGTTTCATCCACACAGTTTCATTAGCTGAATTTACATTTCGCAGCCACAAAAATGACATTTCCACAGCCTTGATATTCTAAATATCATGAGAATTAAATGCAAGCCAAAAAATCCCCTCCGCTTATAAAGATCATTGTATGACACAGTAAATTCAGACAAAGGGAAAACCTTTGTCAGCACTAAGGAGAAAAGCACCTAAGAAGTCATGACTTGAATTGTATTTGGACTGTAACCCATTAGAAAATAAGTGTTCGTGGGTTACAAAAAAGATCACACTCTTGGTTACACTGATATATGAAGCACAAGGCATTTTGAGTAATACATGCCATCCAATTTCACCTTCATTTAATTTTTTTTTACTGAAGTAAACTATTCGACAGGCTAGGTCCATGTGCCATTTGATCAGAAATATACCAAGAAAATGTCCATAGGACAAGCCTGATGCATTCCGCTTATGGAACAACATTCAGTTAGAAAAACAGCTTTATGTACTACTCCCTATTCTATCAAAAAAGAATTACACAGTCATGAAAACTTCGTATTTCTTGTTCCAAAGCATTAACTCATAACCTAGAAAGATAATTTAGTGAATTTTAGAGAAAATTTCTTTATCATTTAAATTTAATATATAAGCTGTATTCTTTTCAAAGAATGCCAGCAAAAGAAATGATGCTATAGCTACAAAAATATTGCCTTTTCTTACATGTCTCAATAAAATTATGTTCTTTGAATCTTATTTCCAAACATGAAGTGTTGATAAATTGGAAATACAAACCATAAAAATATTTTTAATATGTTGACTTATAGTAAGCAAAATTATATTCTAACCTGACCAAGTTCTTCATTAAGGTCTGATGTGTTAACCAAGGCTCCTTCATTAATTTCTTCATCAAAAAAGTCCTTATCCCATGTAATGAAGAAAGAACCTAAGAATTTTTGCATTTCCACAGTGACATACATGGAGACAGGAATGATAAAATTGAATAGGACCATGAATGACAGGAAGTCGGTGAACATTTTCAAAACCTAAAATAAAAAAGAGAATTCATATTAATTAGGTACAAAGCTCCAGAGAAATATAAAGAAATGGTTAACTTTCTTTGTTCCAATGCTGTTCTTACTATACAAACTTCTAAAAGACATTGTAGTGAAAACTGTCACATTATCTGAGAATATCTGAGAATGCTCTCAATTTTATCATTGTTCTCTCTATAATATATATATATCTGTATGTATGCCGTATACTTTCACTTCTTTAAGTTCTCTGCTCCCTCTACCTTTACATATGAGTATGTAGTCAAAATTTATATCTGGAGAGCCATTATGTTCCTACTATGGCATCTCATAAGCTCATTTATAATAAAATGCCAGAGATCTTGTCAAATAGTTTCAAGTTCTAACTAAAGAGTTGAAAATAAGCATAGATGCCCAAAGTTTAAGAAAATAATTAAACCTAAAACTTAGTGAAATTTTTTATGGCTTAGAGCCACCAAGCAACTGAAATTAAAACACAAAAGCTAACAAAATACGTAGTTTCTCTGAGCCAGTGCTTCAGTAAGGGGTAGCTAGTCTACAAAGTCTGAGAGTTACAATTTCCAGTAGAAAACAAAATACCTTCATTGTCTCCCGCTCTTTCTGAGTCTTTTGGTTATACCAAGGTTCATCATTGTATGGGTTACTTTGCCACACATACTTCAAAGTAGTGCATACTGCAGCTTTGGTCAGTAAGATGAATAAATATACAATTAGGAAGGCATTAATGGATCTGGAAAGTAAGACAGTATGGATTTTAAAACCATTTAATTACTGGATACCAACCAAATATGAAATGTTCAATTATCTAAACCTTCTACATGTAATGTATGCAACTATAGCACAAATCTTTTATGTATATGCACCTCAGCTATCATAGCTGCAGAATCACCAATGGTCCCCAAAGTACAAAGGTAGGCCAGTTAAACATAGCATTAGTAGGGTTTCTGTAAAGTGGCAGGAAAAAGGTACATATATATCCAGGCAATCACCTACGCAACCTTTAGAGAAGTATAGTTTATCTCCCTATACTCTCCGGATATTACATGGTTAAGACTGAGAGTAGCAAAGCAACTGTGAAATACTCAAGGTTGGTGTAAGTCACTTATATCTGAGACCATTTCCTGGTTTGTAAAGCAGAGAGACTAATATAAATTACTCCACAGAGCTGTTCAGATGATTAAGTCAAATCAGACCTATAAATCATTGAAAGCAATTTCTGGACCAAAAACAAGTGTGCAAAATGATAGCTGATGTAATTGACAAATTTTTCTGTTATGGTTGTTATTTAGAACAATGGAGGGAAGAGAACTATTTCAAACCATTGTGGCACACACTAACTTTTCAACAGCAGAACGTTTCTGAGATTTTCCTTGGTAATTCAAAGCCATTTTGGTTTCCATTCCAGTGTAAACAGCAACTCCTAAGGAATAACAGAACAATATAACATAAACTAGATTATAAGACAACTCTCTACCCATTTGGTTTTCTAAATCTAAGTATACAAACAATTCCAAGTCCTTTTTAACTCTCCAGTTAATATGTCACTTATGGTTTAATTTTACTTCTATGAAGTATTTGTCCAATTTCATTTCTGCTTACCATCTGATAAATTCCCAACATTTAAATATATTTAGAAGAAATGATACTATATCTGTCATGGTCACTTTTAAACATGCAGTATACATGCACAAGCTTTGCAAAATACATAAGCATATCTTAAATATTGTTCACCATATATTTTCTTGGTATTTTTTAGTGTAGCTCCTTTCAGAAGAAGATTTTCAGGACCCAAAGACCTACACAAAAAAAAAATGAGCAGCATTTATCCAAACATATACCATTATCAACTCTGAGATCAGGTCTTGCCATGTCACACATTTATCTCCAAGGGGTTCAGAATGTATCTCTATTTCTACCATATGGTTATTCCCCAGGAGAGCTGAATGATCCCTCCCTCTGAAGTGACTTGCATTTCAGCACAGATGGAAGCACAGTACAGGAGTAGCCAGCAATATGCAGAGGTAAAGAAATGCACAGAGGGATCAAAAGATCGTGAATCATGGATAGCAGGACAAAAACAGGTCAGAGCAGCATGCAGTAAGAAGCAGAAACAAAAGGTCAAAGATAAAAGACTGGGAAGGCTGTACCAGTGGCTCACACCTGTAATCCTAGCTGCTCAGGAGGCTGAAATCTGAGGATCATAGTTCAAGCTAGCCCAAGCAGGAAACTCCTTGAGACTCTTGTCTCCAATTAGCCAAAAAAGCCAAAAGTGGAGCTGTGGTTCAAGTGATAGAGTGCTCGCCTTGAGCAAAAAAGTTTCAAGACAGTGCCCAGGTGCTGAGTGCAAGCCCCAGGTGTGTGAGTACATGCCCACATAGTCACGCAGACACACGGATGAGGAGAAACACACACACACACACACACATACACACACACACACACACACACACACACTGGAAGGTAAATAGCAAGGTGGGGTAAACTGAGATCTTTATAAAGAATAAACCCTCCTTTTGGGGAATCATTGGGCCCACTAAATTTCATTAACTTCTTTTTAAGTGTGATTATAAAGGTTAAGAGGAAGGGTCGGGGTGATTAACTGGATGACAAAATAAACCATCTTTGTATGAATTATCTCACTATAAATGATTAGTAGGAGTTCATTTCCTTAGATCCAGGTATTTCTTCCAGAATTTTATCCACTGCCTAATCCCTCAATTACATGACCTTAGACTACTGTTCTCTGGGTATGTTTCCAACCTTGTCAGTTACTACACAAATAAGGAAAATAAATGCAATGGCTAGATCAGATTTGGCAATATTAATCAAGGATTTGGAGCTTTGTTCTTTTAGAAACCTTAAGTATTACTTCAAAAATCCCCTCTCCACCTTACCCCCTAATACAAAGACTCTACCACCACAAGATTAGTAACTTACTATCTTTATACCTTCTTCTATAAGGTATTTGGTTATTTTATGAGAATAAAACACCCTTTTCCCACAAGGATAGATTAAAAGAAAAACTAACCTGGCAACAGCCTCAAGACTATCACTATATATATTGATTCGTCCAACAAACCTGTAAAGAGAACATAATAGCAAGTATGTTTTCAATAGGTAGGTGAAATCCAAATACCACTAATATGGGACTGATTCACAAAAGAAATAATGGACAAGATTAAGATTCTGAATGAACAGATTGGCGCCGGTGGCTCATTCCTGTAATCCTAGCTACTCAGGAGGCTGAGATCTGAGGATCACAGTTCAAAGCCAGCCTGAGCAGGAAAGACTGTGAGACTCCTATCTCCAATAAACCACCAGAAAACCAGAAGTGGCAGTGTAGCTTAAGTGGCAGAGCACTCGCCTTCAGCTAAATAGCTGAGGGGCAGTGCCCAGGCCCAGAATTCAAGCCCCATGACCAACCAGAAAAAGAAAAAAAAAGATTCTGAATGAACAACAAAATGGTATTTCTGGAGGGAAAGCGAGGATGGAGCAATAACATATTAGTCTAATCTTCAGCACAATATTATGGATTAGAATAATGTAAACCAAGATTCTATAGTAATTTTGAAGTTCAGCTAGGCATTATGCAAGCACACAAGATTCCACTCTACACCATTATATGGAATTTTTATTTTAGATTCATGCAAAGAAATGTTTACGGTGCAAAACCACAACATTCAAAAGATTTAGTTCAGTTCTTGAGCATACATTAGAATGATGGGAGGACTTAACAAACCACAGAGTTCTGGGTCCCATTCTTAAGCTTCTGATTCAGGTTCTCAGGATATATTGGTATTGTAAGCCTCAGGACAACGTTTTGAATCACAGCATTAACCTCACAATGAATACTTGATTACAATCTTTGAACTGTCCAGTCTGTATTTTACACCTGATCTCAATAATGACTTTGACCCTACCATTCTATACAGCATTTCTGAATAACATGATAAAAAGGTCTAATACTCCCTTTAATAAAAATTTGATGTTTTATGATTTGTAGTACAGTGTTATCATTATACAAAAAAGAAATATTTTCACACAAAATATAAAGGTGTGCTCCTTCATCAATTATATATTCATTGTGCTGAACTTGGAACTGTACTGTGATGAAGATCCAGTAATAAGCAAAAACAGACAGACTGCTCTAAGAAAGGTCAGTAAGGAGACAAATACACTGCAAGTGATTACATCTAAGGTGAGAGAAGCACAAGGCAATCTGAAGTCATACTGCAAAGGGCTTCTTCAGTCTACTCTAGAGAAATTAGACATAAATAATAAATAACCTTGTCTGTCTGCCCTAAAATTTTCCTTCATATTTAAGATAACTGAAATGAATGGGGTTTTTCTATGAATATAAAAAAGTGTGTATGCATATATAGCATAGATACATTTATATACACACGTCCATATAAATATTGATTTATATATGTAGATATATGTAGATATATTGATTATCTATTGATATATCTACCTATCTATAGATATATCTATCCATATCCCATTTCTTTGATTCCAAAAACTATGCACTCACATTTGCCTGTTATCTGTAAGCTTAGCCCTGTATTTATCTCCTTTGCTCACTGTGAGCTCTTTGAAGACAGAGAATAGCTGTTGTACTTTGTGGCCCTTGTTCATAGGATCAAGATGGAAATAAAAGAAAAAGGAAAACAGGAAACAAGGAATGATGGGAAAGGAAGGCATTGTTTTCACAATGAGATTCCTCCCCTGTTAGGTCTTAGAGGAATCCACATCCAACAACTTGGTTCTACATTATGACCAACAGTATACGTCAACAAGATGATTAAGCCGGGCACTGGTGACTCACACCTGTAATCCTAGCTACTCTGGAAGCTGAGATCTGAGGATCGCAGTTTAAAGCCAGCCCCAGAGGGAAAGTCCCTAAGAATCTTATGTCCAATTAACCACCAGACAACCAAAGTGGTACTGTGGCACAAATGGTAGAGCACTAGCCTTGAGCTTAAGAGCTCAGGGAGAGCACCTAGGCCCATGACTGACCAAAAGAACAAACAACCCTCCCCAAAAAAACCATGATGGTTAGTCTGACCAAAGGATGCCATCTGAAATAGTGGAATAGAATGAAATTAATTAGGCCACATGGGGATAAAAACTATTATAGTGTCAGTACCATGCTTTAATCAGCTAAACTAACCAGTCTTAAAAAATCAAATGCCAAATTTTTACTATCTACAATGAATATTTATATTTAGCACTCTTAAATTTATATATTATTATATTGTTGTATATATATATTTATTTTTTGGGGGGTCTGGTCGTGGGGCCTGATCTCTGGGCCTGGGTGCTATCCCTCAGCTCCTCAGCTCTAGGCTAGCGCTCTACCACTTGAGCCATAGTGCCACGTCTGGCTTTTTTCTTCTGTGGTGCTGAGGGCCTCAGGCATGCAAGGCAAGCACTCTACCATTGAGCCACCTTCCCAGCCCCAGTTCCATGTATTCATACTTTATATCATTAGCAAATCTATTCCAGAGAGCCAGGGTAGAGTGAAACAAAAGAAATTATACCATTTTACAGGTGTATCAACTATTTATTGTGAAGAAGAAACAACCTATTTGCAATTCCTCAGTTCATTATGATAACTATAAGAAAGAATGCAGTGTTTAATAATTGCACATCCTCCAATCCTTTTTTTTTCATTGATGTTGGATAGTGTGTAAAAGGGTTTATTCTTGTTTTAATTAACTCTGGGTATTCCATTAGTTTGATAGATCAGCTGTTTGGGATAACATAATTTTAAAAGTATGACAGATATCCAGTTTACAAGCAACAAAAATAATAGAGAAAACCATGGGATGCCTGAATCTACAATTGATTTCTTAAGCTGGTAGTGAACAAGCCTGATTTGAGTCACTTCCCTGCCAAAAAGAGGAACAGCTCATAAAAACATACATGAGAGTAGGCTGGTAAGTAGTGGGTGTTTCTTTTGCAACACTGGTGGCAAAAAGTAGAGCCAACGGACAGGAGTAAAATGAAAGCGGGTTATTCTTACTTGTAGAGGTCAGGTTGAGGCTGTTCACATTCAATTGCTGCTCGGAGGTTTTCAATGGATTCAGCTGTACACAGTGCAATGGTATCTCGTACTGCATAATGTGTCTAGATGAAAGCAAAAGAAGCCAATACAAAAATAGTGCTTCTTTTCATAAATGTACAGACAACTGCTTCTATAAATATATATGTATATATAAGTAAAAGATTTCAGCAGATTAGTACAAATATTGATGTACATATCTAACCAAATACGTTGGATGGTATTATCCTTAAATATATCACAAATAATTATAAAAGTAAATCTGTTATAAAGGGATTTCAAAGATTAAAAAAAAACCTAAAGCTCTTCTTGGTACTAAGAGTTCACAGTACTATACTTGTAGCATGCATATAAAACCCCATGAAAATATAATACATTTATTCCTTCTACTATTTACAGAACTGAGATTTCTTATTTTGCCCACTGTAGTGTAGAGCAATGCCAATATACACACCTGAACTGAATTGAATAATTTTAGTCATAACTGCAAAAATTTTGCCAACAGTAACAAAAAATCATTAATAATTCCACTATACGAATGGCTACATTTTATGAAGGGGTAAGAAAATGAGGTATCTTGTTAGAGAGAAATATTTTTTAGTATTTACTATGTACTTGATTCATCCAAAACTCAAGCTCCAATGAACCCATTTACAAAGATCTAAACAAAAGTTAATGCAGACTTAAGAAGTACACTGCTTACACAGAAGGGAAGGCCTGTTGACACAGTCCTTGGAGAGTAAAATGGAACTGCCTGAGATATATTTATACCAATCCAGATTTTTGAAAATCTCACATTAATATAAAAAGAAAACTAACAAAAAATTTCCTTCCTCTAAACCTTGTTTTCAATATAACAGAACATTTAGGTAGATTTGTTGTTGCTATTTTGACATTCCCCTAAAATATGACTCTTGCAATATTTTTGAAATACAGAATCAGAAAATATAGAACAGATAAAGTTGCTCTTTCACATACTGATTCCTCAACTTTAGAGGGAATAGAGAAGCCCTACAAGGATATACCCAGGGGGAGAACATTATTATAATTACTGCTTAAAAGCAGCACAGAAGACACATCCTCACATTCTATGGAGGTCTAGATGAGAGGCAAGAAGTAAGTGTGCTAGAATGTACCAGAGAAATAAGTTATCACCTATGATGAAAAAATTTAACGCTCTTAAAATTATTTCTAGTTAGCTGGGCACTGGTGGCTCATGCCTGTAATCCTAGCTACTCAGGAGGTTGAGATCTGAGGATCGCAGTTCAAAGCCAGCCCGGGCAGGAGAGACCCTGAGACTCCTATCTTCAATAAACTACCAGAAAACCGGTAGTGGCGCTGTAGCTCAAGTGGTAGAGCGCTCACCTTGAGCTGAAGAGCTGAGGGACAGCGCCCAGGCCCAGAGTTCAAGCCCCACGACCGACGAAAATAAATAAATAAAAAAAAATATTTCTGGTTGTACTGAAACAAACATTTGCTAAACTACACTCTAAAGGATCAAAAGAAGAAATAAAATTACCCCAGGTATGGTCTCCTATATCCCAGGAGAAATTTTTTTTTTTTTTGTCGGCCGTGGGCTTGAACTCTGGGCCTGGGCACTGTCCCTCAGCTCTTCAGCTCAAGGTGAGTGCTCTACCACTTGAGTTACAGCGCCACTTCCGGTTTTCTGGTGGTTTATTGGCGATAGGAGTCTCACGTCTCTCCCGCCCGGGCTGGCTTTGAACAGTGATCCTCAGATCTCAGCCTCCTGAGTAGCTAGGATTACAGGCGTGAGCCACCAGCGCCCGGCCCAGAGTAATTTTTAAATGTGTGTATATATGTATGATATATGCATATCTACATGACTTTTAGATTAAAAAAAAAACAAATGAGCCTGCAAGGATAAAGTAGTCATTCTGTAATCATACTGTTTTAGCCTACCAATTATTCCTATTTTTAAAAAAGCCTTGGGACAAGTTATAGTCCCTGATTCACATGTGCTGGGCCTAAGGTTCAATCCCCAGGATTTCTAAAAGCCTAAATAAAATGTTAAATTGATTGTGTCAATATCACATTTAAGTAGAGCTTTAAAACTGTGGTAGCTTTTGTTTGTTGTGTGCTGTTTTCCCCCACCCAACAACACCCTATACCCCCAAGATCAGTATTTAGTTAAAAGTTAAAAATAATTATATGGGGCTGGGAAGGTAGCTCAGTGGTAGAGCACTTGCCTTGCATGCATGAGGCCCTGGGTTCAATTCCTCAGCACCACATAAGCAAAAAGAAAAAAACCGGAAGTGGCGCTGTGGCTGAAGTGGTAGAGCTAAAGAGCTGAGGGACAGCGCCCAGGCCCAGAGTTCAGGCCCTACAACCGGACCCCCCCCAAAAAAAAGATAATTATATGATGCCTGCCTCTACATTGATTAGGAAAAACAAGGAAATGAGGGAATATTGGGAAACAGCACTGTATAACTTAACGATTATGAGCTTAAAATATTTAGGCCAGTTTTGCTCTACCTTGCAATTGGATTCCCCATCAAGACTGGCTGTAGTGACATAACAGGTTCCATCAGTGGTACAGGATGATAAAAGAATCAGATCACAGGGAAAGGTTTCATCTGCTTGTACTTCAACTACATCACCAACCTAAAACAAAGAGCACAATTAATATAAATACTTTAAATTCCAAACAAAGAATTCATTACACCCCAGACTAAAGTCAAAACAGTAGTAACAGATGTTTTCAGTTTTGGGGTTTTGAAAGTATCTTAGCATGTGAAAGAAATGAAAGATTATTCAACATTCAAAACTCTTCCTTGGCATCACAGAATAAGTCCTTATCTTTATCCCTAATAAGCAGTTCTGATTCCCATGTGTTCTCTATATATATTCCTGGCACCAATGTTTCATAAGCCAATGGCCAGAATCACTGCATGAATGAAGGAAGGAAATCTACACGTATTGAGTTTAGGCACTTCATAACCACTTAGTAACCACAATCTCACTTTGCATCATGCATATTTCTACCAACTTTGCCTGCAGTAAGATAACAGCTATGACTGCTGAGTGACAATCTCTTCTTTAAAGTAATATTTTTAAAAAACAGTTAATTTAGAGTCATCAGGGGCTAGCAAGTTGGTTCAGTGGTTGAGTGCTTGCCTCCCATGCATGAGGCCCTGGGTTAAATTCCTCAGCACCACATAAGCAGAAAAAGCTAGAAGTGGCACTGTGGGTCAAATGGTAGAGTGCTAGCCTTCAGCTGAAGAGCTGAGGGACAGTGCCCAAGCCCAGAGTTCAGGCCCCACAACCAAAAAAAAAAAAAAAAACCCTGCAAAAATTTAGTCATCAACTTTTCCCCATACTATTTCTGAAGAAAAAAAAACATTTTATATAGGTCAATTTTCCAAAAATTATTTTGTTATCAGATGAATGAATGTAATTTATCATCAAGTATCCAGAGCTCAAGAAGAAAAAAACTGAAAATAAAGCATGAATAATTTAGTCCAAGGCAGGAAACACATCATAAGTTAACAGAGTTTGGACTTTTAAGTTTGAGTTGATATACCAATTCTGTCACTTAACTATTTAACGTCAGAGTAAGTGTCCTAGATGATTCCAACTATCTCAGAAGATTGATATATCTATGAAATGATGATACAAAGAAAGCAGTAATCAAAGCTCTTGGCACATATTAACCATCTGATTGAGGGTAATTGTAATTTTATTAATATTATGTAACTCTAATCTCAATGTGAATATTTAGACACCTTGGGGAGGAATATTAAGAAATCTCCCAGGCGGGGTCCTTCCCAACATTTTTCATAGCATACTACACAGAGAAAATGATAAATAAGATTTTTTGTACAACTACTTCAGGCACAAAAGCTTCTCTAGAGATGGGTGCTGATGGTAAAAGCCGACCCACATTAAGAGGATGTCAACATATGGCATACTGACATGGACAAATTGGCTGTGAAATGCTGAACTAATATATGATATGCAAGTCCGCTTTTGCAGTATGATTTGATAAGTAAAGACAAAGATTTAAGACCTATTTAGGAACTATTTTACTTGCCAATTTTAATTGGTAGCCAAGAGCAACAGCATCAACAATTAAACTTTAATTTGCAAATACTATTTCCTTGTTATCTTTCTTCCTCAATTACATAAACTTAATATTGCTTACGATAAAACCACAATCCATGCTTCATATACAGGAAAAGTGACATTTTTTTCTCCTTCTAACATCTTAGAAGATGAAATATTCATTAGAGCTCAGAAAATGAGTTATGAGCACTGTTGAGTAAATGACAAAAGAGCATTTCTCCCCCCTCAACACAAAATATAAAGGTCCTCACATTTACCAAACAGTAAATGGTAAAACAGCAGAAGCCAAATCATCACATTAGGGGATTTCAGATTTACCCAGAAGCAAAAGGGAAAGTAAAGGAGAGAGGTAAAGAACAAGTGTCACAAGATGTGCTCAAAAATTGACATGTTGAAATGAAACCCATTTGTACAACTACACCAAGAAAATTAAAGGAATGAATATTATGACTCAGCCATGACACTGATGGAGCATGTGTGGCAGGCAGTGAGTAAATAAGTCCTTACTGTATTTTCTGTTAAACTGTGCTATGAAGCTATAACTGTCCTAAAAGTAATGTATTAATTAAAAATAAATCTCCTGGGAAACAAAATGTCTGATATGGAAATTCTAAAATGTTATTTAACAGGGGGTCTTACCTAGTAGAAATAGCAAATAATTTGACTAAAACATGAATTGCCCAATGTACTAAAAATTAGTACCTTGGTCAGGCACTGGTGGCTCACACATGCAATCCCCATTAATCAGAAGGCTGAGATCTCAATACCATGGTTCAAAGCCAGTCCAAGCACAAAACTCTGAAACTCATCAAAAAGCCAGAAGTGGCAGTGTGAAGTGATAGAGTGCTAGCCACAAGAGGAAAAAGTCATGTGAGAGTATGTGTGGGCCTCCTGAGTTTAAGCCCCAAACTCTTATACATTGCTTGGAGAATGTAAATTATGCAGCCAATGTGGAAAAATGTGGTGGTTCTTTAAAAAGTTAGCCACAGAATTACCATAAGACCTAGTAATTCTCTACCTAGCATATGTATGTTCCCTACCACATTGAAAATAGAAGTTCAAATAAAATGTTCATAGCAGCATCACACATAGAGGTCCTAAGTAGAAACAACTCAAATATTCATTAGCCAGCAAGTAAATAAAATGTGATATATCCTTAAAATGGAAAATTACTCAAGTCTCCAAAAGGAATTAACAGATGAATCTTGGAAACATTCTCAGTTAAAAAAAAAAAAGCAAGACACAGAAGTCATATAGTATATGGTTCCATTATATGATATATTAAGTATGTAAATCATAGAGAGGGAAAGCAAGTTAGTGTTACCAGGGCTTGGGTACAGAAAGTAATTTAAGGTGACTCGTTTCATTGGTGCAGTGTTTCCTTCTGGGTGCTGAAAATACTCATGCTGATAGGTGTACAACACTGTGAATATACTAAATGACATGTTATATTTTATTTGTTTTTGTTTTTTTGTCGGTCATGGGGCCTGAACTCTGGGCCTGAGCACTGTCCCTCAGCTCTTCAGCTCAAGGCTAGTGCCCTACCACTTGAGCCAAAGCCCCACTTCCAGCTTTATCTGCTTATGTGGTGCTGAGGAATCGAACCCAGAGCCTCGTGCATGCAAGGCAAGCACTCTACCACTGAGCCACCTTCCCAGCCCCGACATGTTATATTTTAAATTGTACATTTCTACCACAATTAAAAAAGAGTAAAGATAGTACCTTAATCTTTTCACTTTCTTTTCTCACTCGCTTTGCATTTTCAATAATGTAAACAGTGCTTTTGTTGACTTCATTGTCAGCTCTGTGTCGAAGCCAATCTTCATATCCCTATAATTATTTTAAAAATCGCTGTATTATCAAGCTCAGATAATGAAATAAAGCTGTTAAAAAAAACTTCTATAACCCTATATAGCAAATCTTTATAATATTATCTTTAAGAGTAAATTCAGGCAACTGTTTCAAAATATCCTACAAGTAATGACCTATATTGTTTTAAAAGACTCCTTAATTAAATATTAATAAAACAGGCATTAGTCTAAATATTTATTCTTCATCTGTGAAACACTATGATTTATTTTTCTAATTCTCTACTTTTCTAAGTTACTATTAATGCTCACTGTTTTATTCAATTTGTAAAAGAATTGTACTGAGCTTTTATTTTCCCATAAAACTAATCATTGAAGCCGGGCGCTGGTGGCTCACGCCTGTAATCCTAGCTACTCAGGAGGCTGAGATCTGAGGATCATGCTCCAAAGCCAACCCTGGCAGGAAAGACCTTGAGACTCCTATCTCCAATAAACCACCAGAAAACCGGAAGTGGCGCTGTAGCTCAAGTGGTAGAGCGCTCGCCTTGAGCTGAAGAGCTGAGGGACAGCGCCCAGGCCCAGAGTTCAAGCCCCACGACCAACAAAAAACAAAACAAAAAAAAACAAAAAAAAACTAATCATTGAAATTTATTGTTCTGTATGTTTATAGATTGTTGGCCTGATCATTTCTAAGGAAATATTTCTCTTTATGTATAGAAAATAGAAAAAAAGGATTTTTTGGTGAAGAATTTATAAAACATTGTAAAGATAAACAGCTAATCTCCACTGACCTGGTAGTTAAAAAAAATAAGATAAACTGGTGATTAAAAGTTGGGTGCCCGTAGCTCATGCATGTAATTCTGGCTAGTCAGGAGGCCAGGATCTGAGGATTGTGGTTCAAAGCCATCCAGGGCAGGAAGCCCGTAAAATTTTTTTTTTTTGGCCAGTCCTGGGGCTTGAACACAGGGGGTTAAGCACTGTCCCTAAGCCTTTTTGTGCTCAAGGTATTAGCACTCTATCACTTGAACCATAGATCCACTTTCTGCTTTTCCTGAGTAGTTTATTAGAGATAAGAGTCTCATGGACTTTTATGCCTGGCTGGCTTTCAACCACAAACCTCAGATCTCAACTTCCTGACCAGCTAGGATTATAGGCGTGAGCCACTGGCACCCAGGCTCATGCGCCTTTTATCTACCATTAACTACCAAAAGGCAAGAAGTAGAGCAGTGGTTCAATTGGTAGAGAACTAACCTTGACCAGGAAAGCTTATTAATAGTGCATAGTCTCCCGAGTTCAAGCCCCAGGACAGGCCCAATGACGGGAGGAAGGTATTCATTTGTTTAAGCATGAACTCTTCTTTATTTGTATCCATTTGCTTTCTTTATTTTGTTATAAAAAGGTCTATGCCTTTTAAAATTCAATAGTCTAAGAAAATTTCTTGATCACCAGCTACCCCCAGTGCTATATCCATTCCTATTTTGATGCTCCTCATGACAATGCTTCATAGGTTACATTCTGTGAAGGTGGTTAAGAAGAGCCAAATATTAACTACTATTGGGGGAAGAATGAATCCGTAAAAGCCTTTGTAAACTGTACATGCTATTCTTGGAACTGGTAATTTTATGATATTAAAGAAAATAAACCCTACAGCCTCAGGGAAAGAACATTCCAAAAGTCTTTATTTAGCAACAGAACACTTGATAAAATATTCTTGCAGTTCCTGGTAGGCAAGATAGAAGACCAGATAGCCCCAAGCAGAAAGGTAACCTTATTTCCAAAAGTGTTCACTCAAGCCTATATTCAGCAAGTTACCATGGGGTACTTTGAAAGGGCCCTTTGATAATAAAAGAGTATCTAAACGTCTGTTCAAAAATAATCAGATCTAGGGACTGTCTCAATATGTGATAAATGTTACCCCACCCTGTGGCCCCTCCAGTTTCCTGTTTACATTTTCAGTTTCATCTGGAAGTTTACAAAGGTACTGGCTTACAAAATGTTCAAAATACTTCAAAGACATCCGTCTCAGTCTGCAGCAGTTCAGATCTGATAAGAAATAGTAATAAAAGTCCCTTTGCCCACCACCTCCTTCAATAGCATTAGGAAAGATAATTAAAATATCTGTGGTCCTGATTCTGTGCTATAGGCAAGCACAAGAAAAAAAAATCTACTGGAATGAGAAATTTTTAGTTAGACTTAACACACTGGAATAATTAGTACACAATAAAAATCTACTTCCCATTTCCCATCTGAGCTGCACCTCCTACCTACTCTTTATGTTCCACACAGAAACACAGAGGAGGAAAAAATAAAATAAAGATGTGCCTTACTATCATTTTAATAGATTTGCAATGGGAACCACATTTAAAACTAAACCCACCAACGATATTACCCACAGTAGACAAATATGAAAAACAGCCTTAGTCAACACAATTCAAAACCAGCTTGTATTAGAATGAAGATGTAAGTACAAGTAAGAAATTTACCTGCTTGATGGCTGTAACAGTTATAACAAAGAAAAGTGGAAGGCCACTGGTAACTGGGCTTGTTGGTGTATCTACAGTGACCTAGGAAAAGAAATTAAATTGAAAGCAACATAAAAATTAGCCACTAATTTAAATGAAGCACATGTTGCAAATATTTCTGACACAAATACAGACAAAACACATTCTAGTAGCAAGGTGAATGTTAATTTTCATTAAAACAAAAGCAATCCACACAGTAGTTAAAGAAAATTCAGGCTTAGTTTTCATCCCAAGTTGGATAAAATACTTTATTTAATGGGTTTATTGAAATACACCTATGTCAGCCCTTGCACTATTGTCGTCTAGTTTCTAGGGATCTGCCTTTGAACAAAATGGAGAAAAGCTCCTGCCTTCATGTAGCTGGAAGCTTACAGGGACAATAACATCAAAAAAAGTTTGCAGCTTGCATTGGTTAACCCCAAGGTGAAGATTAGGAAGACTTTAGCTTAAGGGAGACCCAGGCAACAAGACTCATCTCAAACAATGAAGCTGGGCATGTTGGTGTGTATCTGTCACCCAGCTACTGGCAAGGTAGTAATAGTCTGGCCCTGGGCAAAGAGTGAAAGCCTACTTAAAAAATAATAAAAGAGAAAGGAGCTGGAAATAAAGTTCAAGTGTTAGTGTGCCTGCCAAGCAAGAGCAAAGCCATAAGTTCAAAATTATAGTATTGCCCCAAATAATAATAACAGCAACAACTAGGCATCTACAGGTAAATAGATTAAAGGGGGGCTTTTCTAGATCCAGAGAACAGTCTCCATGGTAGGAGGGAGAACAGAATATGTAAGGAAATAAAGAAAGCCTGTGCAAGAGGGAGTGTTTGGAACTGGAGATGGAGGCAGGTGCCAGACTGTGCAGGGTCCTGTAGGCCAGAGAAAGCTGTTTATCCTTTAAAATAATGGGAAGTCCTTGGGAAGGTTTTATGTAGGAAGAGACCATAGGAATGGAATTGCATCTTGAAAAAAGCATTCTCAAAGCTTTGTGAAAGATGAAGTTGGAGGGAATAAGACTAGTGGCAGGTAGTCCATTTGGTAGGCTATTGCTATAATCCAGGTGAAAGATAATGATTTGTGCCAAAGAAGGGCCAAAGTTATTTAAGAGGTAAAAATGGAAGAACTGGTAAGTAATTAGATGTAAGTATTTATTAAAGATGTCTTGCAGATGTCTGGTTAACATGCCTGGGAGGGTCTTGTCATTCACTGAAATAGGAAATACAGAAAGAAGAGAAGATTCAAGGGAGAGGGATGGTAACTTTCAGTCTGCCTTCACAACTCACTGATTCTCAACTCCAACCTCCAGCCAGGCCTGCCCCTGCCACACAGAAGTATACACATGAAACAGTTGACACCTTGCCTTTGTACAACCTCTTCCCTATCACTGAGATGCTGTGCAGGTAATTCTGCACCAGGTAAGCCTCTTTTGATCCTTGAAGGCTCAGTTGAGGTATCACTTAATTTCTGAAACTTTCTTAAGCTCTTGGGGTAGAAAAAAAATCTGAACTTCTACTTTATATACTCAATATTATTTGTTCATGCTGCTTGAATGCCTTTTAATACAGTACATGAATACATATTTCTTCACATCAATAACAAATTCCTTAAGGGTAGAAAAAAGTCATTATCTTCATTGTACCGGCCACTATTTTTGTTATCTGGACCATGGAAAGGCACACAGTAGGTGCTTGGTATATACTTAACTGAATTGAACAGATATACACTACTGTCCACCAAGCAGAATGACTCTTGTAAGCAGAATCTACATCATGGTTTGTCTCTTAAAACATTTTTTTTGTCAGTTGTGGGTCTTGAAATCTGGGCCCAGGTGCTGTCCCTCAACTCTTCAGCTTAAGGCTAGCGCTCTACCACTTGAGCCACTGCACCACTTCTGGTTTTCTGGTGGTTAATTGGAGATTAGAATCTCACAGACTTTTTTGCCTGGTCTGGCTTTGAACTGTGATCCTCAGATCTCAGCCTTCAGTGTAGCTAGGATTACAGGTATGAGCCACAGGCATCTGGCATAAGACATCTTTTTAAGTGCTTTAACTAAAACTGAATTCAGTACTGAAACTGGGTCCTTTCCTATATGATATCCCATAATTGGTTTTAAGTATTAGGCTTAAATTCAATTATAGTTCTACTAAAGGTGGATAAACAGAAGCACTTAATATCGACAAAGCATCTAGACAATTTTATTGAGATTTTTCTGAAAAATCTAATAAGAACACAATTACTTTTAATATAGAAAATTTTTAGGGAGAAATTATGGTAAGGGAAAGATTTTAATAGCATATAGACCTAAAGATGAAAGACACAGTTTAACATGTCTAAAATTAAAACAAAACAGTAGAAGAAATGAGAAGCAGATTTATCTACTACACTTTCCCACTTCATGGGAATAAGTGAATGTGGCAGAGCCAAACTGATAATCAACATGATGTGATGTCTTCAGTCAGGCTGAAACTGGTATCAAACAAAGTAAACGATTAAACTATTTTCAATTTAGAAAATTTAATGGTACATATCATTCTAAGATGAACAAAATAATAAAATCCATAAAAAATTTAAAGAAAGTAATGAAATAAAATCTCCACAAGTTTCTTAATAAAACACAACCTTGGGACTGGGAAGGTGGCTCCAGTGGTAGAGCGCTTGCCTTGCATGCTCGAGGCCCTGGGTTCGATTCCTCAGCACCACATAAGCAAAAAGAAAAAAGCCGGAAGTGGCGCTGTGGCTCAAGTGGTAGAGCGCTAGCCTTGAGCTGAAGAGCTGAGGGACAGTGCCCAGGCCCAGAGTTCAAGCCCCACGACTGGACCAAAAATAAAAAAATAAAAAATAAATAAAAAAAATAAAGTAAAACACAACCTTATAGCCTGATACCCATGACTCAAGCCTATAATAATCCTTGCTACTCTGGAGGCTGATAACCGAAAATCATGGTTTGAAGTCAACAAGGATGGACACATAAAGAGCAAAAAGCTGGAGCTTGAAGTGAGGCTCTAGTGGCAGAAAGCCAACAAAGCCAAGCAGGAGCACAAGCTCCAGTACCCCCCACCACACACGCAGAGATTTTTTAAAAAACCTCCCAAACCCCATGGCTTTATAAACCTATAATGTCATACAAAATTTAAAAGATAATTTGTACTGTATAAAGTCATAGTAAGCCCTAGAATTTATCTGTTTTTAATCATAGGGCTATTTTTAATGTTGGAAATTGTTTGATGTAATTTTCTCAGAGTCGAATTTGGGTATTTATGGAACTCTTACCTGTACAAGAAAAATTATGAGAAAGTAAAAATTGGCAATTCTTCTAAACTGCTCAAACAGATTCTTTGGGAGGAAATTCCAAAGTGTATACTATAAAGAAGAAAGGAAAAAATATTAATACAAAGAAAAGTCCTAACTCATTACTCATATGGTCCAGACTATCATATAAAGTAATAATATAACATAAATACAAACATAAAGTAATGTTTAATATACTTAACATATATTAGATACAATACTTTGAAACTCCAAACACACATATGCCTGTTTATATTCAGAGGCATAGAATAACTTTTTGAAAAATGAAGCTTCACTGAGCATTAATCTCTATGAAGTTTCATAATTTTTATTTCTCTAATCCAATCCAAAAGACTCCTTATTATGTTCTCATATCGTCCAATACATACTACCTTAGTATATAACTATTCTTATTACTGTGAACTGTTAATATGTGTTTTCATTAAGCTTTTACCTCAATATTCAATGACTTATATAGAGGCAAACTGCTCTTATGTATTGGTTATGTCCTTTCCCTCAACACCTACCAAAGGGCCTTGTACAAATTAAGACAATGAAGTATTTGGATGAATAAATGAACAAATTAGTTCCCTGAGTCAGGTAACCTCCAGAGTCCTGATCATTGCTAGAGATAAAACCATCTTCATGATAGCTGAGAATGTGTACACAGCTGAAAAGGTGCACATATAATCCTGGGTCATAAAGGTCTTTTACTTCAATCAACAAAAACCACACTGGACTCTGGGAAAGGTTTCTACGTCATATTGCACATGGTCAGAAGAGAGAATTCTTTGTCAAACTACTGAACCAAAGTCTCTGTCCATAATAAGTCAAAGGGCCAGTGAATGACAGGCTTATGGGAATTTACGGCTTATATGGGCTCAAAGTTCAGATCATCTCAGGAGAATAAGGACAAATAGAAGTAAAGCAGCAGCTTTACTTCTATTCCATGGAAGTGTCTTAGGGAGTTCCTATTCAAAAGCAAGTGCCAAATTGAGCAGGAATATTCATTATCTGGGCAAAAGGGAGTCCATACTTCCCATGAAATTTCCAATGCAGCTTATGATAAATAAAACCCATTCAAAACCACTGATGTAGTAACTTTAAAGTTGTCTTGGTCCAGACTAGCACTTAACTCTCGCAATCACTTGGAACCAATTTTCCAAAAGATTAAGCTAAATTTTAACAACAGTTAAACCTTGGGAGTGCTGCCCTTCTGTTCTCAAAATAAAATTCTTACTAAACAAGTATTAAGGAAAGAGTTTGAAGGATGGTAATAACATATAAAGAGGGAACACATTTTGTTGTTTCTCAATCCTGTTAAGTCGATCATAATGGTTGTTATTTTTGACCAATAAGGTTGTGCTAATACTGGGCTCAAGAGAAACCTTTTTAGAGAATCTTTTCATTAAAAGTGAGATTGAAATGGGCCATTGGTGGCTCATGCCTGTAAACCTAGCTACTCAGGAGGTGGAGATCTGAGGTTTGCAGTTTGAAGGGCAACAAAGACTGTGCAACAATTATCTCCAGTTAACTCCCAAAAAAGCCAGAAATGGGAGCTGTGGCTCAAGTGGCAGAGCACATGTCTTCAAAATTAATTAGGTGGAACTTGCTTATTCTTACCCAACAGAAACAAGCCTTCAAGATGAGGTCCAGAAATGTTTAAGGAAAAAACTAGAAGAAATAGAACTTTATGGAAACTAAAGATCCCAAACATTTTAGCAGGTGCAATCACTGCTTCTTTTGCTAAAGATGGAATTTCCAAGTTTTATGCAAAAATATGGTGACTGCCAAAGGTCCCTGCAGAGTACATTCAACTAGTAAGTGAACAGAGGACATTTTTATTCTAAAGAAATTATTTGTGCTCCTAGGGACAAAAAGAGAAAATTAGTTTTAGGAGTAAATAAAATTTAAACTAGGTCAAAGTGTTTGTCTTCACTGTTCCCTGCATTACTAACATTCATTTCCAGGGTTGCACTGACATTTATGACGGAATTGGTAAATAAAGCACCCAAATCCAGTGTTATTTTTATCATTGAAGGATAAAGAAAATCAGCACTTGCTACAAAGTTGGAAAGTAGCTAACATGTTTTATACATTATACATTTCTTCAGTTAAAACACTGATACAAATATAAGATATCAAAAGATAAAACAAGAAGAAAAATTCCACATATGGATTTATGAGTCTCTCCAGAGTTCAACTGTAGGCCTCTTTCTAAGAAAAAGCACTTCAAGCATTAAAACACATCAGGGTGGGGAAGTTAGTTCAGAACACTTGTTAGCACAGGTAAGAAACGGAGATCTGAAGATCAAGATTCCAAGCTGACACAGGCAGGAGATTCTTATCCCCAATTTACCCAGGAAAACTGTAGGTCACACAAAACTAAGAGGCAACACCCAGGCTCTGCTCCCAGCAAAAAACAAAACAAAAGCAAACATGTGAGCCTAAGGAAATACTTATATTAGTGCAATACTGCAATAATAATCACAGAAGATACTAGGTGGTGGTGGCTCACACCTGTAATCCTAGCTAACTCAGGTGACTGAGATCTGAAGAGGTTCCAAGCCAGCCTGGACAAGAAAGTCCCTCAGACTCTTATCAGCAATAGCCTTGAGAAGAAAAAAAAACTGCTGAGGGGTAGCACCTAGGTACTGAGTTCAAGTCCCAGGACTGGCACATACCCAAAAATAATTAAAGAAGCACAATAGTTATAATTTATTGAGACAGCAAGCACAATGCTAAATGCTTTTGTTTTGTTTTGTTTTGGGGGGGTCCGGTCATGGGGCCTGAGCTCTGGGCCTGGGTGCTGTCCCTCAGCTCTTCAGCTCAAGGCGAGCGCTCTACCACTTGAGCCACAGCGCCACTTCCGGCTTTTTTTCTTTTTGCTTATGTGGTGCTGAGGAATCGAACCCAGGGCCTCATGCATGCAAGGCAAGCGCTCTACCACTGAGCCACCTTCCCAGCCCCCACAATGCTAAATGCTTTATGTGGATTTCATTTCATCCTCACTATAATCCCATGGAGGAGAAACTATTAATACCCTTTATTTTATACATAAGAAAATTTCAATGAAAGTTAAATAACTTTAATTTCTAATCCAGATCTTCTGTCTCAAGGGATGAAGCTCTTCACCATGACAATGTACACGATCATAATAATTATTCATTTATACTAAGAATACAATGCTAAGGTTCTGTTCTTTTTCTGAAATTACTATACTGCCAGTTCCTCTTTTTCAGTTCGACAGCTTTTGTTTAAAAAAAAAAGCAGATTAGTTAATCAGTAGTTAATTAGAAAAAACTTTAAGTATGTAATATTCAGAGGAAAAAAAGGTGCCAGGCTAACAGTATAGAAATGTTCACTTCTTTATCCAGGTTTCACATTTCTGGAAACAAAATTTTAGTTGCTCCACAGGTTCTTATTTTTTAAATACCCTATTTCACTATTATTACTATTTTACTACTGGCAAAAGTGAATCTACATAAAATCTGGAAAAATTCAATTAAACACCAAATACTGAGAATTAAGCCAGGTGCTGGTAGTTCACGTCTGTATTCCTAGCTATTCAAGAGGCTGAGATCTGAGGATCGGGGTCCAAATTCAGCCTGCGCAGGAAAATCCGGAAATTCATCTCCAATTAACCAGCAAAAAACTGAAAGTGGAGCTGTGGCTCAAATAGAAGAGCACTAACCTTGAGTGAAAAAGCTCAGGCAGTCCCTGAGTTCAAGTTTAGTACCAGAAATAACCAAAAAGAAAAGATTGAGAATTAAAGCAAGTCAGATTGTCTCAAAATGTGAAACATACAGTATTAAATTAACAAATTAACTATCTTAATAGTCACACTGTCAGTGTGTCAGTTGGTCACTTGACCAACTTTCATACAAAACACTGTATAAACAGTAATTCCTTAGAAAATGGTTTATATTTCACTTCAGTGCAAAAGGAAAGAAAAAAGAAAGGAATTCAAAAAACACAATGCCAACAGAACTCTACCTTCAAAGCCACCAGGCCTTATTAAGTATTTCTGTTCTTGGCTTTATTACTAACTACTTTGTGACCATGCCAGGAACATTGTTTCCTAGGGCTTAGTTTCCCCATCTGTAAGTCAATAAGTGGAACAAGATAACCTCTTAAAACCTTATGCTCTATATAAATCTATAATTCAGAATCTAAGGTCTACTTTTGATTTTTTAGTCAGATATACTATAGGGTAAGTCATAATTTCCAGTGAACAGACTACTATTTTGGGCACAAGTATAGAAAACTCAGGCTGAGGATAAAACTTTTAGCATATAGTATATGATTAAAAGGAAACAGACTCTTTTACACAAATATACCACAAGTGTTCTACATGTCTACAGATCTAATCATTAGGCTACTTAATTTTCACTTTTCCTCTTTATTTCTTTTTTACCTCTTATTTCTACTTTCTGGAATTCATTTCAATAAATATTATGTTATATGGTGATAGGGACATAGGCATTGCACCTTTGTCTTCCTCCCGTAAAAGTATCCTTCTTTGGTTTCACTGTGTGGGAATGCTTAGAGTCATGTATAACTTATTATATCCACAGGTATTTTAGATCTAGCTTAGGTAAGAGAGAAAACATGTGCCATTTGTGTCTCTGAGATTGGCTTACCTCACTTAACATGATTTGTTCTAGGTTCATCCATTTCTCTGCAAATGACATAATTATATAATTCTTTCTAGTGGCTGTGTAAAATTCCATTGTGACAGGTACCACATTTTTTGGATCCACTCATCTATTGAAGGGCATCTGGCTGTTTTCATAATTTAGCTATTGTGAAGGACAGCAAATAACACGGATATCCAAGCACTTTTATGGTATTCTGGCTTGCGATGTTCTGGGTAGATGCTTAGGAGTGGTATGGCTGGGTCATAGGAAAGATCCATTGTTTAGGGTTTTTTCTTTTTCTTTCTTTCTTCTTTTTTTTTGGGGGGGGAAGGGGAGGCCAGTCAGGTCCTGGGTGCTGTCCCTGATCTTCTTTTGCTCAAGGCTAGCACTTTACCACTTGAGAGTCAGCTCTACTTCTGGCTTTTTTGGTAATTTATTGAAGAGTATCACAGACTTTCTTGCTTAGCCAAACTCTGAACAGCAATCCTCAGATAGCCAGGATTACAGGTGTGAGCCACTGGCGCCTGGCTTTATATGTATTTAATGTATGTATGCATGTTGGGGATTGAACTTGCACATACTAGGCAAGTTTATATTTTTAAAGAAAGGGCATAAATTATTTAATTTTGTGTTTCATATCTTAAGCAATAACAAATGTTCACTGAACTAACATTTTTTAAAAGCTCTCCTTTGTTAGGCTATATGAAGAAGGGGATATTGTCAAAATCTGTTCCATGAGCCAGCAATCTAGTACTGCGTAGGTGCTAGATACTGCTGGTTAGCCAGCAGTAAAGACTAGCAAATTAATACTTGCAAAATGAATACTGGGTACTATGAGTTATAAGAGATGTTTTCATATATGGAATATTAGCCATTTCACAAATTAGAATGATTAATTTGGCCAATTAGACATGGCTAGTAAACAGTTGGGCCAGAATTTTAATGCAGGTATTCCAACTTCCAGGCCACTGCTCTTAACACACTACCCAGAAAGAAGATCAATGGGACATAAGTCAAACAGTGGACTGAGTAGAACAGATCCTTTTAGGGCTCAGGAATTCAAGTCTGAGGCAATAAAAGCGAGGGAAAGGATACAAGTGATAGTCTTACCAGGATAACACATTCCAAAAGACTGCAAATTAGGCATTCAAGAGCAACTCAGTAAGCTTTGCACAGCAATTACACACATGGTCATACTCTCTCTCTCTCTCTCTCTCTCCCCCTCCCTTCCCCCATCGCCTTTTTCTCCCCCCTCCCTCTCCCTGCCCTCCTCCTTCTTCTCTCTCCTTCCCTGCCAAAACCACCACTTAGCTTTTAAGGTTCAAATAATATACATAATCAAAAGGCAGTATGCATCATAATGGAAGACAAGTGAATATGTTTTAGCTGTTACAGGACAAAATGATGTTTTTTTTTAAAGTAAAGTATCTCTCAGGGGAATAATTACCAGAGTTAGTATATGATTTGCAGGCATGCATAACCATGTATGCACATATAAATGTACCAGCTTCCTCATAAGCATACATCCAGAATAGCTGACTCACTATATGAACATCTATTGAGTTAACAAAAAAAACTTACCTTTGATGATACTATTCTATTATCACAAAATCTCTGTGCAATGTACGTTTCTGTGTCAGAAACTGGATGATTGCCAACAAACACTGTGCGCGTACCAACTCGTTGCTCTTCTCCAGCACACTGACCAAGAGAAAAAAGGGAAAAGTCAGCTTTTCATCACACTTCTCTCTGTTTTTCTCAAGCTTACAAACCTTGTTTGAGCACGTTTGTCTATAACCTGGAAAAACAAAGTAGCAAAAAGGAAGAAAACCTTGTTATGGAAATTGAAAGTCCTCTTAGTTGCTGACTTAGTAAAAATTAGGAAAACCCTTGCTTGAACCAATTGTTCTAAGGCCAATAGTGAAAATTCTAAAATGATTACAGAAAGAATGTAAAGAAAGCCAGAGGAAAAATCACTCTAAAATATGCTACACGGCTAAATGTGAATATTTTAAATTAAATCTTCTTGGAGAAGTCATGGGCTACTGATTCACACCTAAAATCTCAGCTACTCAGGAGGCTGGGGTCTGAGGACTGAGGTTCAACCACAGACAGCTCAGGCAGACAAATCCCAGAGATTCTCATCTCCAATTAGCCAGAATAAAGCCAGAAGCAGCAAAGCCAGAAGTAGAACTGTGGCTCAAGAGGTAGGATGCCAGCCTTGAGTGAAAAAAAAAAAACAGTGCTCAAGACCTGGATTTAAGTAAGCATTACAATTGGCACACACAAAAAATAAGTAGTTCTTTCCAATTCTAAATTGTCGTCAACTTCTGTGTCAAAGAATATCGGAAGAAAAGCACAATGCAATGTTCAGGCACATACTTTTATGAGTTCCTTAGATTTGAAAGTCATTTAGTTTTACTTAGGCTTCTTCATGTATTACTCTATCTCTGGTATCTTTTGAATAAAGCCTAAGTGACCCGCATCACCAGAAATTGGAGAAAATGGATTGAAATTATTATGCGGGTAGATATTTGTGGAAGTGCAGATCCTGGAAATGATTGTTAGATATAGGGGTCTGAAAGAATGAAGTTGTAGAATGTCCACTTCTGACTGTTTTTCAAAGTAAGACATACCTAGGCAGGTTTAGAACTACATGAGGATTATCGGTGTGATGGTATAAAAGATATCTTTTCTACGCCTGTTTCACCTTAAAAGCTGATGAATCTATAAGCTCTGATAGAATTTCCTGCAACTTGTTTTTTGGGGGGTCCGGTCGTGGGGCCTGAACTCGGCCTGGGCGCTGTCCCTCAGCTCTTCAGCTCAAGGCTAGCGCTCTACCACTTGAGCCACAGCGCCACTTCTGGCTTTTTTCTTTTTGCTTATGTGGTGCTGACGAATCGAACCCAGGGCCTCAGGCATGCAAGGCAAGCGCTCTACCACTGAGCCAACTTCCTAGGCCCTCCTGCAACTTTAAAATGCTTGGCCCACAATAAAAATGGCAGTTTTGATTTCATGTAAATTCGCTGTAATTTTCCACGTGCTACCAATGGAGAATGTTAAAACAGTGATATTAGTTCCTGTGATTTGGAATCACATGGGTGCCTTTGCCAAGGCACAGAAATTCCAGTAACATTAAAAAAAAATCCCTTTTGGATGACAGAGGGCAAATATATGATTCCTGCCATTTCATAATGCATTTTAATTTATTAGGAATCCAGACTATGCTGGATTGATTTCCATCCACATATCCTCAGTAACAGTGTTGTGTGTGTGTTTGTGAGTGTGTGTGTGCACACACACACATATCACCCATGTACAGGTGCTGAGCCTTAGTTGAGGGCCTGAATGCTGTCCCTTTGCTTTTCCACTCAGGGCTACCCTTTACCACATCCATCATAGCTTCACCTGTGAAACTTTTAGTTGTTAATTGGAGAACTAGTCTCACAGACTTTCTCACCCAGATGGGCTTCAAACCTTGATCCTCAGATATCAGGGTACAGAGCCGCTAGGATTATATGCATGAGTCACTGGCACCCAGCAAGGAATTATACCTTTTTAGCTTCAAATATACTAGCACCAACTCTATTTAATGACACGTTACACATTACATAAATATCAAAAATATTTTAAAGTATAACTAAAACATATGAATTAACATGGAAATAAATTAAGACAAAAACCACTCTCTAGTGATTTTGATTTAAACCTCCATAGAATAAAAATGAATTGTTTTTAAAAAGCAATGATTTATAATAACATATAACCTCTCATGAAAATTCAGTAAGGTGGTATTTCTGTTCAAGTATTACCATGTTAAAATCCTTTGTCTTTGCTAGTTATTAAAAATGGAAAGCTGTTGGAGGCATAATTTGCACCCTGATTGCTTCCAGATCCTCTATCAGATAAGAACTGAGAAAAAAGACACCACAATGTGAGACTTAAAGTTGGCCCAGGATCTGAAACAAAGCCTACTTTTCAGTATTTTCCCAGTATTGGCAGACTTAAATGTTTCACTTTACCATAGATCTATGGTTTTTTAATCCTGACTACACACTGGCTTTAAACTAATACTTTGATATTTAATTTAATATTCAATATTTATTTTTTCTGGAACCTCTTTTGGTGACAATTTGCAACCGGGACTGGGAAATATGCAACACTCTCTTGGAAACAGTGATCACTGTTAACTAACATCTTTGAAGTCAGTCACAATCCTCCTGACTTTATTTTTTCTTTAATTTAAATCATTTGTTTTTCAATAGATTAAAATATAAATGGTCCTAAAATAGTGGCCCCAACTGTCATTTTAAGATGTTCAAAATGAATTTCTCCTTTGAAGTTTCATTTTACAAGTGCTGAATTGCTCATTAGTTAGATCATTAATAATTAAAATTATAAGCTCTTATATAATTCAAGCCTTATATCAGTAGATCCTCTTAACTGATGTTATCATTGACAATTAAGGTATTATTTTTATTGGTCATCAACTGATCTATGAGTTTCTGTAGCAAATAAAAGCGAACAAAATGACCTTATTAAAATTTGTAAACTGCCAGGCACCGTTGGCTCATGCCTATAATCCTAGCTACTCAGGAGTCTGAGATCTGAGGATCGCAGTTCAAAGCCAGCCCAGGTAGGAAAGCCTGTGAGACTCTTATCTCCAATTAACCACCAGAAAAAAACCGGAAGTGGTGCTGTGGCTTAAATGGTAGAGCACTGACCTTGAGCTGAAGAGTGCAGGGACAGCGCCCAGGCCCAGAGTTCAAGCCCCACAACCAACCAACCAACCAAAAAAAAAAAAAAGTTGAAGACTTAGCAATGATTTAAAACTTTTCACACCCCAACCCAAAGCTATTTTCTTCTTTAAAACACTAGTAAAATCAGTCCCAAAAATGAAAAATGAATTCAAAATTTAAGGAAAGAACATTTCATCAAAATTGTATATGCCTATTTAAATGCCCTCAAAGTCAGATTAGCATCCTAAGGGAGGGGGTAAGAGTGCAGGAAGGAGAGTAAGACAGTGCTAGAAAACATTTCCAGTGTAGTAAGCGTCTTGGTTAAAATCACTTGAATGTATTCAGTGATCAATTTGCTGAGGTTTCCAAGTCCATTTCATAATAGGAAGCTAACATGAATAATACTGATCTTCAATTTATAGTCTTAACTCAAAGATGATACTTAAAGTGGCACTTTTCAGATTCTGCTTTTACACAACTTAAGTGATTAAATGGTCTCTCCCTCCTTTGCCAGAGCAAGCAAAGCAAGATTGAGACAGGATGTTTTGAGTTGTTTTGTCTTCAAAGCTTAATTATGGTCACATTTACTGGATTCTTAAACATCTGATCAAAGACAAATACAGAAAATTCTTCTCCAGACACAAAGATTGTCTCTAATTAGGCAGTAGCCACTGGTGGCACATTTAACTGAATAAACAGTTGCTATAGGAATACATACTAAGCTTCACATAAACAGCAAAAAAAGAAGAAAAAGAAAAAAAAGAAACCTTAGAAAAAAGCACTGGTCATGCTAAAATGGATAAGAACAATACTTTCTCTGGAAGCTCAGAGTTGGGACTTTCATTATGTTGATGCAATCTACAGTATGGTTTAATTTTACTGGTTCTTTAAGTCATAGAAAGTAACCTGTCTTAGATATTCAACATTCTACTGGGACTCAGCAACTCCACTTCCAATGTCAACAGTACCTTTCCTAACCCACAGCCTCACAAAATGCATACAAACTTATCTAGTAATGAACAGAGCATGTAAGCCTACAAGGTCTCAAATTTACCTTTTATTCTTAGTATAACCATATAAAAACACCTTTTATTCCATATACTTAACAAGCCATAAAATTCTAAATTAGGAGGTTCTTAACTTTTAAGATAGGAGAGACAAAAAGGCTAAATGACAAGCCAGCTCTAAGCATTAACCACTGCCCTCAGGAAATGGATAAAAATACCCATCCAAATCAAAAACAAGTATAAGGAACCCCCCCAACCTCCCCCCACAAACATACCAAACTTCAACAAAAACAGAGCTGAAAAGAAAATAGAGTAATATATAGACTACAAACCTCAGAGCTTGGAGGGAAAGAAGAGACCTTCTGCATACTGATGTGGAAATATGCTAAGGCTGCTAAGTGGTTGAAAAGGCTGCAGATTATCAAGAAACTTGCACTAACCCCTGTGCTTCTTGCAAAGTTTTCAAGAACTTGGGAAGACAGCCAGGGAGCTGGGTGGTTTAAGGAGTCTGTGTACTTCCACAGGCAGTGGCAAAGGAAGCATCAGAGGACTTAAGTCAATTCCAAAAGAGTTCAAAGGTCTGAATTTGCATTTAGGAACTCTTGTGTGCTAAAAGTGTGACTGCCGTATAATACCAGTTTCTTGCACAGTTTAGTATACTCTTCTCATCTTGGAAAGGTCTGTTTTTTTTAACTTATTTACCCCTACCTGCAGTAAACATTATTTCTTTACCTTACCTAGAATAAACAAGAGTAAGAAGTGGGGCTACACATTAACCTTCAGAGAGTTCAATTGAATTGAACATTTTAGATTGGCAAACACCTTAAGTGGGAAAAATATGATCCAGGTATTTATTATGATACACGGAGATTTTCCCTCCACAAAAGTGCCTGTAATACTAAAGAGAACAGGTGGAGCTCACTCTGGGTTTCTCTATGATGTGTAAAATAGCAGC